TGGTTTCCAACGTGCGATCGACGATTGCGTGATTTAAATAGTCGTTGCGGCTCGCGGCTATAGTGGTCTGGTAGCAGTACATTGCGTGAGTCGTGGTGCGAGTCATATAGTGTTTTATTGTATTTTTTGCATTTTAATTAAAAACTATGTCAAAATCTACATTTTCGTCGAACAATGATGAAGTTTTGGTGGAAGAAGTTGAGAAGCAATCCGTATTGTATGATAGCTCCCACGAATACATAAAGATATTATATTATATTATCAATAACTTCTTCCATCACTATACTTTGTTAACAAACTAACAATTAACAACAAAACTAGTATAATAAATAAATTATTTACCAAAAAACACGTCTGTACTCTACACAATATTAGGGTAAAATGAACTCCGGCCGCAACGCCTGGTCGTATTTAGGAAACCAGTCGGCACGCAAAGTTTAGTCGTTACGGCTGATCGTTGCGGTTGATCGTTGCGGCCAGCCGCAGCTTGGAAACCGTACCTTAACGCGGAACGCTCGACGCACACACGCACATCCACGTCTTGCGCGAACATTGCTTCGGTCACGTGATCGATGCTTGTAGAGGAAGTATGACCGACGGCTGACCAAAACTGGTCGCCGCCAAGTCATCATCTCATTTTGAATAGACTATAGTTAGTTATTTTTTATAATTTATATATATTTTAATGGGGTAAAATGCTTAAAAAAATGTAATTTAGATAAGATAAGTAGGTATATTATTTTGGTATTTACCCGAAGCAAAATTAATTTTTTTACCATCTAACATAGATATCTTATACATTTTTTGTGCACCACCTTATGTGAACCTCACGAGCCGCCGCTGGTTACGCTCAAGGTTAAAAGAATTATACTATATTAAAAATAAAAAAAATGTTTTCAATTAAATTTATTTTTAAAACCATTTTAAGTATTTTATTTTAGATAAAAACTCAATATAAGATGAAAAAAATTTGAAAAAAAAAAATTTATCTCAGATCATCATATCTATTATATATAAAAACTAGCTGAATAACCCGTCTTCGCCCGTGTACAGTTTTTTTGGGTAACCTATAATAAATTTTATTTTATCAGTTTTTATATTTATTACAGGCTGCTTTTAGATAAGTTTATCCTAGGTTGCCCATGTATTGTAACAATCAGAAGTCAGCAAATAATTACTTTATTTTAATATTTTGAAGACAAATTGTAAGATACAATTCTAATCTACGAAATGTTGAAATAAAGTATAGCAAAAAAATAATAACTTTCTGTAATTGAAAAAAATGTTTTACGTATTATTATAATTATTATTACTATTGTTAGTATTATTTTTATTATTACTATTTTTACATCTTATTATTATTTTAACATCATTATATACATTATGGTGTTATAAAAACCCACCAATATTTATATTGACATATTTTGTTCATCTCAATACCTCTTTATAAACAATATTTTTGGTACTGCCTTTTGGGGCTACGTATACGAAGACGCTTATTAATTAAAAATAATAAGAAAAAAACCTTATGTATACGTAAACGCTAAAGACATATCACAACTTCACAGTATGTGCCGAATACTACAATAATAAGTAAAACACTTGACTAATAAGTGTACGTGTTTATTTAGTATAGTATACATTTGGAAACAGTGGCGTATTTAGGAATTTTTCTAGGGGGGGGATGAAATATATAATAATACATCCTAACACCCATTAATTCGTACATAATATACATTTTTAAAATCCCTTAACTTGTTACCTATTGAGGTTAGTGTGGATCAAGGCAAAATAAGAATTAATCTTTATAATTACCTCATCATTTTCCAAACAAATTTTTTTATTTGTACTAAAATAAGAAAATAAAGTTTTTTTTTGTTTTTGAATATTACTCATATTGTCTTAAAACTTCACAGTTACAACTTACAAGACGCAAAAAATAAAGTCGAACAATAGTCAATTCGGCAGTAAGTCAGTACTCGGAATGGCGCGGCGTCGCTATCCGTCAACGTCCAATGACCGTACATATCTACTTTTAACGAATCACGATATCATACGATAAAATATATATATATATATAGCTATACATTAGCCATAAATCTACTAGTAACAAATTTTCTAAAAATAAACCCGCCCGGCCGCCCTATGGTTAATCCACGATCTTCATGGTCATTTTGTTTTGTTTACCGATTGCTTATCGGGTTTATAATAAACACTCTTGCATGAAAAATAATTCGCAGAAACGTACAAAATACAGTACACCATAATATAGGTATATGCCTGATAGTCGTACATGCCGCCAACGATAAACGATTAGTGGCGATTAGTATATCAGACTATCAAAGCGGTACAATTACCACGACTAGAACATTTAGAAAACAGAAAACATACATGCTCGAAAGTAATATCATATTAAGAATATTAGAGAAAATGAGACAACTTATAGCTACCTAGGAAAAAAAAAAAGGTCAAGGGGGGATCTATCCCCCATATCCCCCCCCGTAAATACGCCACTGTTTGGAAGTACACGTACAACAGTTCGCAAGCCGTAAGTGTCGTCATACAAATGTTTCAATAATGTCATACAAATGATAAACGCTACGCGTGTGTGGTCAGTGGTGCGAGCGTACGACGGCATGTCTACCCCTACTACTACTTCTGTTGGAAAAACCCGTGTGCGTCGTCGATATTGTGGTGACGTAAACAACGCACCGTGAATCGTCCAAGTTGCTTACAATATTGTCGGTGGATATGGGGAAATCCCATGTTCTAGAATATGCGATGATTATCTCTTTAAGGTAATTTCGAGAATGTTCTAGACGCCGATATATATATACCGGCTGGTCAGACGCTCATTCAGTCAGTCCGTGAATACAATTCGCAACACACCGTGAATTACACTTCGCGATATATTCTGTAATTCCTCCGCAATTGTAACGCGTATCGATATTTGTACATACATATTTATATAATATAATGTCTATTTTAATTAAATTAAAATGTGAGTGATTTTTATTACTTAAATCCCACAATATTATTATAATTTATTCCTAGTTAAATTTTTTTATTTAATTATTACAAATATAATTTTTTTAAATACATATTTATTGATTCGTTAGGGCATAAATGTGTACATATTTTAAGGTTTTTAAGGGCATGAAGTCCCTAGCCCTAATAATGACTATGCATACCGAGTAGTGATAGATTTTGAACAAATTAATTGTCCAGTAAGGAACGATTAGAAGCGATTCCGCCTGAACGTTCCTCCTCGTTCCTACATTCCATTTCGTTCCTATGATCAAACGGTCGAATGTATCAAAAGTATATCAAAAATGCTGTGTCGGTTAGGGATGGATAATTTATAAGTATTTTTAAAGGTGTGAGAAATTTTAATATTATACTCTATATAGAAAGTGTTGATATAACAATTAGAAACAATGATTGTTACTATGCAAAATGAGACGATTTTAATTTTGAATAAAGATTATAATTATTAAAATTATTATTAACTAGCTGAACCCGCGCACTTCGTAGCTCATATATAGAATTCGCCCGTGTGCAGTTATTGCTTTCTATAAATGCAATTCTTAAATCAGATGTTTATTATTGAAACGTTCGGAAAAACGCACTAAAAAACTAATGATGAAGAAAAGAGTGTGTTTTTATTATAATAAGAATTGTGCTCGGAGAGCTTATACGAATAACGGATAGGTCGCGTCGACGGGAATAAAGACCTCGAACGAACGATACTTCAGTCGGTGCAATGCCGGAATTACTCTGACTATTACACCACTGACCAACATAAATATATCGTTCGTCGAGGTCGGGGGGATACTGTCTTCCAATGTTGCGTAAGTCTGCCTGGGAAGGTCAACACCGGAGGGACAGGAAATGGTGATTTTCCATCACGCCACTGTGCCTTTTATTGGTAGGTGCACCGATAACGGCGTCCGGTGGCGTGATGGATTTAGCCTGGTGACGGCAATCCGAAATCCGTTTGACAATTATAATTTCTTTTTATAAAAATAATACCTTAACTAACTACGTTAAGCCGCGTACATACGAGCGCGCCGAACCTGTAATGCAACGGTTGCACGCGCGGCAAGCTCGTTCGTGTGGACAGTATTTGAAGCACGCGCGCGATGTTACTGTAACGGCGCTGATTGAACTAGTTTTTGTCGGTTTTTCCGACGAACACAAAGGAAATGTTCGGCCCAGTGTTTTTATTATCGTTGAAACGCGCACGCTGCTTTGAATCTGAACCATGCATGAACATTTTCGCGGCAAACTCCGCGCGTTGACAGTGGATCGTTGGCGCCGCGCGTGTTCGCAGTGAATTGAAACATTACACTGCGCCGTAGAGGTGGGAATTTTCGGTCGTTTGAATGATTCGAATCATTTGAATCGAATCAGTCAAGTGATTCGGTCATATGATTCGGTCATATCAGTCATTTCGGTCTAGTATCAAATATCGTTCTTATCATTAGGTGAATCAATTTTCTTATGAAAATGAATCAGTCAATCAATGACAGAGATTGATTATAATATAATGTTGTAGATTGTAGCTTGTACTGTTTGTAGTAAAACGCCGTGGTTGTTATCATAAACCATGATAATTATCACGGCATTAGATTATTCAATTATTTAATATTTTACTAATATAATATACTACCTATGATTACTATTATAATTTATAGACTTGTGTTTTCTTAACTTTTCAGCGGGCGCGCCATCATTCTTCAAATAGTTCAAATACCATGACTGAGCATATTGAGGAACATAATATAGATGAACCATCTACTTCGGGAATGCCAGCATCAAATACTTCCACACAAATTTTGACATCAGTAACACCAACCAATATTAGACCCGTTCAGACTTCCATAAATTCCTATGTACAAAAACCAAAAAATATAGATTCTCAAATAGCAAAATTAATCATTAAACATTACCATCCTTTTAGTCTCGTCGAAGAAAAAGAATTTAAAAATTTAATACAGATGTTGGCACCGGGTTATGTTCTTCCCAGTAGAAAATCAGTATCCAATAGCCTTTTGCCTCAGTTATATGAAAGTACTGTTGATAATATTAAAAATAAATTAAAAAATGTAACAGCAGTTTGCTTGACAACTGACGCTTGGACTTCAATTAATAATGAATCTTACGTAGCTGTTACTGCACATTATATCGATGATGATACGAAGATGTCATCAATTCTGATTGATTGTCAACATTTCACAGCCAAACACACAGCTGTTGAAATGTCTTCTCTCCTTAAAGAGCAGGTGAATAAATGGGGATTAGACAATAAAATCACTGATTGTCAGTGATAATGCTGCTAATATAGTTGCAGCTGTTTGATTATGCCAGTGGAGGCATTTTCCATGTTTTGCTCATAGCATCAATTTGATAGTGCAATCTGGGCTAGAGACAGTGAAATTAATATTAAATAAAGTAAAGGCCATTGTCGAATACTTCAAACGCAGTACTTACGCATTGTCTCGTCTAAATGAAATTCAGACACAAGGTGGTTATTCTGTTTTAAAGTTGAAGCAAGACTGTCCTACCAAGTGGAATTCTACATATGACATGGTTGATAGAATTTTGAAAATAAAGGATCCAGTGTTATCCACATTAGCCATTATTAATAATGATCTAAATACTATCACATTTGATGAGTGGAATGTATTGAAAGTGCTATGTCAAATATTAAAAATATTTTATGATGTAACTAATGAAATAAGCTCAGAAAATTATATATCTATATCTAAAGTAACAATATTTTCAAGGGCGATGGTCAACTATGTATCAGGGTTCACTAATAACAGTATAATGCCAACTGAAATTTGTTCAGTGGCAAAAATTCTTAAAGATAAATTGCATTTAAGATTTGACCAGCTTGAAAATAATGAAGTTGTGATGCAATCAATATTATTAGATCCACGCTTCAAAAAACAAGGATTTCCAAATGATCAAAAATACCAATCGGCATATCAATCTTTATCAAGGAAAGTGCAAATCGTATCTATCGGACAAGACGCTCAAGAACCAGAAGCAACATTAGGTATTGGTCCACTTTCTGGACCGGAGATTATTTGGAAGGATTTTGATACCAGAGTTATTGCAGTAAGTGGTGGTTCGAATGTGACAGTAGCTGGTATATTAGAATTGGATCGATACATTGCTGAACCTTTATTAAAAAGAACGGAAGATCCATTAGTTTGGTGGAATGAACGTAAGTTAATTTATCCAAAACTATACCAATTAGTTTGTCGTAGGTTATGCATTGTAGCCACATCAGTTCCATGCGAGCGCATTTTCTCTAAGGCTGGCATGGTGTTGACGGAGAGATGGTCAAGACTCACGATTGACAAAGTTGAAAAGTTGTTGTTCCTAAATCATAATTTAGATTAAAGTCTTTTTTTTATTTATATTTTTATTTAAAATTGTTGTAAATTAATGAGTTCAACATGTAAAAAGGAAAATTTATGTTTTATTTTATTAACAGGTTATTTAAATTTTTTTTATTGAAAATTAAAAAAGTAACTGAATGGTTTTATATTTGATAGTTAACAATAATTATAAACTCGCATAATTTCCCCTGTACTAACAGAACGGTCCTAAATAATGTTAAAAGTACATGCATGGTCATAGGCGGAGATTTGATTGAATTTTAGGGGGGGCTTAAATGTTTCTTTGCAAAATAAACCGTGGGGGCTTTGCCCCCACACACCCACTCTAAAATTAATATTACCTTCACTCTTCAATACCTATTAAATTATTGAATTTCAAAACTACTAAATATATTACTTTATATATTATGCATTTTAGAAATCATTTATTATACAATAAATATTTTATTATTTTAATACAATAAATCTATTTTTATTTGCAAATATATCAATAACGTTCTCAATATCAGTATTGATATCTTTTTCAATATATAATATTGAAGAGTTATTAAATTTTTCTTGCAGCATACTCGTGCGTAGCCATTTAACTTTGCGCATTGCAGAAAAGCTTCGTTCACATGTAGCCGAACTGATTGGTATTGTTATGGCCACCTGTAATAGTTTGTATAAGTTAGGAAACACTGTTTTAGAGATATTTTGTTTTATTGTTTCATAATTTATTTCATTTCCTGATTGCAAGATGCTGTTTTTTGCCACGGTCATCTCTGACTGAATATTAATTTTTGATAAATCCAATAACCCCTGAAAACAGTTAAAATATACTATTGTAGGTACTTATGACTTTTATAATAAAACTAAAAACTGAAGATTTACTTGATAATGATCTATAAAAAATTGACTTTCTTCAAATTTTAGTTGAAAAAAAATTATCAACAGATACGCCCATTTGTAAACTATCATTCGAAAATCTTTCTTTTAACTTTGTAACTAGTGTGTCAAGAATTACATAGTAAGCATTTATTCTATAGAAATCTTCAGTTGTCTGTACGTTACTTTGTGTAAATTCTGTGTACTGTATTTGTAACTGTACAGTAAACAACGCTAGTGACGCTACACGAAAAACGAAACGGTCATCACGGCAATCGGAGTTTGGGCCAATCGGAACATTAATAATGTTTATCAAAGTCTGACTGTTGGAAATTTCTATTTTTGTCATTGCGATAATGCGATAACAATCCGTCGCGACGGTTAGCCGACGCGCACTGATGACGATTAGGTATTAATATAATTATGGTATAATAAATAATTATTATTATATTGACATTGAACAATATTTCAAGAGAAAAAAATATTTTGGCAATTGTTGTAAAATAAATACCTATTTTAATATTTTATAGTAATTTATACTATGAAAAATGTTTAGACATTTGGGGGGGCTTTCGATCTGTTTGGGGGGGCTAAGCCCCCCAAGCACCCCCCCAATCTCCGCCTATATGCATGGTTCGGAATGCATATTAAATACAAAATGGTATTTGTCATTTCGTCGGCATGCATCCTTAGCTCTTTCCTCTGTGGTTATAAGTGTAACTAACAATATTAACAATTAATTAACATTTAACAGCCTTATAATATATAAAATACAATATAATAACGTAGGAACCTATACTAAATTAGTAACTAGTAAGAAGTAACACAGTAAAACATGAGTCACGAAATAATAAATTATAAATACTTAACAAATTATATAGTATTGATTATCATTACTCATTACTGATTAGTGATTAGTAAAATAGTGAATAATTAGTGATAACTGATAACTGATTACCTAAACATGGATCAATGATCAATAAAACAATTTTTAGTGATGGGCGATTTGAATCTATCTCGTGACTTGTGAGTCGTGAGGTAGACATAATATTATAATATTAATAAATAATAATATGTAAATACGTAATACGTGATAATAATATCAGTATGACAGCATTGCTGGTTGTATAATATACTATAAATGCTATAAATATTATACTGCAAGTTGTAAGTGAAAATGTCGTAACTCGTAAGTGTGACCAACGTACTTAACAGTGTGTTAAAAAATAAATTCCATTCGAATCGATCCGATCCGATTCCATCTGAAAGAAAAGTTTCATATAAAACTGTCAAACGACCTAAAGATCGATTTGACCGAAAGACCGAAAGACCGAATACTTTTTGGTAAATCATTCGGTCGCGATTCGGTCATTTAAATGATTCGTTAATTTTGATTCGGTCAGTCGCGACCGACCTACCTCTACTGCGCCGCGCGTGGAACGTTGCATTGCATGATCGGCGTGCTCGTGTGTACACGCTTTAATATGCGCGAACAAACTCGATATCTCATTTAAATAATAATAATATGAATAGTAATCATAATAAGATACCGAGCGTCCGCCATGTTTCGTAATTATTGCATAAACAATTATTTACCTTCTTTCTTTTTTCGATCCCCTAGCAACAAACTAATATAATACATATATGACGTCAACAAATAAGTCGCAAACTAAAATCTCTCTGAAATCGTTATTTATCGACAGTAGTGTAATTTTCTTTCATATCTACGTTCGTACGTTCAGAGCGCATCCAACGATGTAGCATTTGTGAATATGTGATGGATAAAAAAAAATTTTCACATATGACGTCAACAAATTAGTCGCAAACTAAAATCTCTCTGAGATCGTTATTTGTCGATAATAGAGGAATTTTCTTTCATATCTAAGTTCGTACGTTCAGAGCGCAACCAACGATGTAGCATACATCAATATAATATCACTAAAAAAAAAATTTCACATATGACGTGCGTGCGTGATTAATATTGTACACTTAAGAGGCCATAACTCCGGAACCACATATCGCACAGCGTACAAACTTCACAGAAACCATCTACATATCAATCTTAATATGCCCTAAAATTTTTATCGAAATCGGTTCCGTGGATCTTGAGCTATAAAATTTATTCAAAATGTACATCGATTTATATATATATATATAGATTTAATAATATTATTATTAAAATCGTCTAATTTTGCTTAGGAAGACTAATTTTTTATCACACGAAATTGTTTCTAAACGACATTTCAACACTTTCTATTCAACCAGA